TTCATCATCATCACCCTTCGCTATGACCTGAACCATGGGACATCAGATCAAATTAGCATACTCTGAAGAGCCCATCTCTTGTAAGGTGGCTCTCCAGAGAATCTTCACCCTCACCGAGGTGGCGGTCACCCACCTCTATAAAGTACACTCAGGCTTCAAAGTGACAGTAGCCAAACCGGAACAACTGACCCCCTTCCTTTCGGCCGAAGGCCAAAGGAAATTAGCAGACAACAGCTTCTCACCAGTCCCCCCCCTCCCCCGAGACGAAAGCCAAATGCAAGATCGTGGCTAAAAAGATCGACAGGACGATCCTCCCACGATCGTGTGAGTCGATCTCACAGGAGGTTGCCGCCAAGAACGGTGTCACTGTTCTTGACGTTTACAAGCCGCCCGAGTCACGGATCGTTAAGATCCATTTCTCCGCGCCAGAGGAGGCACAGAAAATTCTTTCTTGGGGGTCATAATGTTTAATACATCGGTCCCAACTTACAACTTAGAGCCAGAGTGCTTTATTCATTTGGAACAATGTTTAAACTGCTACAGGTTCGGACACAACAAACACTCATGCACACACATACAACGATGCTCCCGTTGCGCTGGCGAAGGCCACTTCTTTGCCAAGTGCAAAGAGAGCATCAAATGCTGCAACTGCGAGGGATCGCACGTAGCAGTTAGCGGATCCTTCCCAACACGAAAATGCAAAACGAACTGAGCTTCGTGAAAACAGAAACACTGCTCCGTCATACGCCACAACAGCCGCCACACAACCGATTCAAACCAGCACACCCAGACGACCCACGACCTCCTCAAGGACGACCATGCCAACACCCCCAAACCCACGCATTCACACCTAACACAAACCCGAAAATACAGGCCATCCTACACGTAAGTGTCATCGCTGCCAAGTACAACGCCAAAAAATTCGCAAACATAGTCCCGATCATGTTACAAAAAGAAGAAGAAAAAAAAAAAAAAACGGCTTCCCCAGCATTGTCGTCCCTGAGATCTTCGAAGACGACAACTTATACATTCCTGAATACACCACAAACACCGAAACTATGGATAATGAGGTGACAATCACTCACCCAGAGCCTCATTGTTCCACAACACACAGACACCTCGTTTTGCAACCCCAACCCAAACGCAAACCACGAGAAACCGCACAAGCACGTGATACTAAAAGGAACACGGAACAGAAACGCAAACAAACCTCGCCACTAAACACGCACAACAAAAAGGACAAGAAGGATCCCCCGATCCCTCAGCCTCGTCGTCAGGGGATGGATGACACCATCATCGACGACGACAAGTAGCGGATCCGAGATCGACGTCGAAGTCGTTCCCGAAGCCGAGGACGAGCTCCATGCCCCTGTGGGCGGAGCCACTGCCATGCTCCCCTGTAGGGAGCCTTTGGGGGCAGCGCGGAAGTGTTGGGAATTGGTCCGCCGATTCCCAGGACTTCCGCACTGCGTCCTGCTCGCAGGACTCTCTTCCTGACCTCGAGGAACCGACGGTCGATGCTCGACCACGGAACCGCTATAGGTATCAGATGACGCCACGCAAAGTAAATCCAGGTTGAATGGGTCTACCCTGAGTGACATGCTAACGATCGTACAAGCAAATGTAAGGTCTTTTTTTCCCTATTCGCAATATTTTTTACGACTTTCTAGATCAAGAACGCCCTGATGTAGTCCTACTGAATTCTACAGCCATCACGAATGGCTATAGAATTCGGCATTACGGTTATACATCCAGGCAAACAGGAGACGGTTTGTACAAGGGGTCCTGTATTCTCATCAAATCCACCATCACCTTCGAGTTTATCACCCTTCCATTCACTCACCCTGACTTCATGGCAGTCAAGATATTCACTCCACAGGGCCCCATTATCCTTTCCACTGCCTATATCAGACCCCTAACTAACATGCCTCTTGCCGATTTCAACCGATTGTTTAATTTTACGAACCTCCCAGTCTTCTTTGCCGGAGATATCAACGCCAGACACCAAGCACTACACCACAGATCTGCCAACTCGCATGGTAGGCAACTCCTTTCTATCTTTGATACAAAAAGACTCCACTACATAGGACCCGACTTCTTCACCTTATGGGGAAACAAGTTACAAAGTTGTGGGCAACACAACTCATCATCATTTGTCGGCCAATGGTCAGTTGTCTGCTGACTTGTGCTCGGCTGTGGGGTTACTGTGTGCAATCAAATGCAGGATAATATACGTGCCAAAGGTCTATGGAATCTAGATTATAATGACAAGTGAAATTGCACGCATACTACAGACTGGTCAATGCATAATTAAGGACATGATGCACTAGCAGGAAAGAGGGAAAAGTTTGATAAGTAATAGAAAAGTGTCTTATGAGGAAGATGTGTCGACTAGTATTGCTAAATGCTGGCAGAATTATAATAATGAAAAAAATATCTTTTACGCAGCTGTATTGACTCACAGAGTTTAGTGCCGTCAGAAGTCTTCGTATTTTGTATTTTGAAAATAGTCGGTACGTAATGTCAAAAAAAAAAAAAAAAATTTAAAATTAATATGTTAGCTTACTCAGTCACTATATCAACATCTACTTCAACTATAAAGTGCAGCTGGAATATGTGCCCATCTGCTATTCTCGGAATGTCCTCGAATATTACGAATATACCAAAGAAAACCATATGGTTACAACTCTAATAAACTGACGAGCACCTTAAACAGGTGGCACATTCATGATAAGTCATCTACCTCTTGACATCAAGTACTGCGTATATTGACAATGCAAACTGGCACCAGGCAATGTGCTTCGATACAGCTGCGTAAAAGTCTACTCATTTTCTCTGACAACACAACTATGAAGATTTTTGTTTAATTGTTACTTTATGCAAGCATCATTTTTTCCAGGTTCAAAATCTGAAGAACAGAAAAGACGCTTGAACTGATCTGTGTCTTAAATTCCACATCCAGTCTGTGGGATGTTAAGTGCAGTTTGAACTGGAAGTACAACAGGGCAGGAATTATACAGAAATTCGTCTGCTAAACGGAAACAAAAGACGACCAACGGGTGGAGACGTCACCGGATTTTTTTCCCAATAGCTGAATTTTAGTTATTTTTAATGACTACAGATGGTTTGATGCAAATGTATGTACTTAAAGTAATACTGGGATATTTTCCTATGTTAAAATAAATTCATTTTAAAATTGCGGAAACCACCTTGCTATGAACTGATATAATGTGGCAGAACGAACGTCATCACAGCGGAAATTTCATCCGATTTCACTTCAACTTTGTCTCCCAGCTGGCCGTCACTAAAGGCAGAGCTACAGTCGCATATATAGTGACTTTACACCTTTGGCCATGCAACACATTCACAATGAAATCGTATACTTTTTAGTTAAATCGAGTTAACAGGTTCACTGTTGCATTTTCTGTAAAGAGCTGCGGGTGCATTTCATGTTACTGAATGTTGTTGCATTATTAGCTTAAAACAGCGTCTATTGTATATTGTTTCATGCAGTGCAGTGAACTAAAAGGTAACGCGGGAAATCCTATAATCGTCACACTCTGTCCCTATACAGTTATTGTAATAAACTATTCATCCTTTTTTTATATTGTATGGATCCATTTCCTTACTTATATCCGTATTCTTTATCGTCTAAGGTTTAGAGAACGGCAGAAGTGATGATACGGAAAAGCGGTCAGTCATGAACAGCAGTCAATTAAGATATACAGTGGTGTCAATATTTCGTGAGTGTCTCACAACAGTCACTCGTGTTTCGCAGCAACTGTTTCGATACAATGTATCTTGGTCTGGAGTAGGCTTTAGCATTCGCCTGTTTAGCATGATACTGATATTGTTACAATGGACGATTCTCAGAATGTAGACAGGATAAATGAGAACTCATTTGACTGCAAACCTTGACACTCTTGAATTACATTAAAACTAAAGGAGGATTGTATTACGCTGGTGAACTCTGTGCCTTGGCCATAAATTCCGTATATGCCACATGCCGTTTAACGCTTCTCTTAAGTAAAATTAGTTCAATTTCAAAGGCATATTTATGATAAAATATCTTATATATCGAAGGTTACCAGATACATGAAGTCATGGAAAATTACAATGTGCAGGAACCGTATTTTTGGAAATAGTCGAAATACAATCGAATTCACCATGAAACAAAATTATTGGGGTTTCCAAATAATTTCGACTATATAAGTCAGATATGCTACAGGGATATGGTGATAAGGAAATGCATTGTTCCCTAAATATACTTACCTCGTAAGATGGCCTGCTCTACATACGTCATTTAAGTTCTAAGTGCATTTTTTTTTTTTTTGGGGGGGGAGAGATCAGCGGCCCCATTCACGGTTCGTTCGTTTCTAACGGCGAAGATCGGTGTATACCCCTGCTATTTTTGTTTCGAAACATGTTTCCGCGAACCCAAGAGGAAAAATGAGGATTAATCAATGTTCATCAGTTCCGTGCGCCTGGAAGAAACGTCTAGTTGACGTGAGCGGGACGCTGAAATGCGCCTGGGCCGCAGGAGCGAGATTGCATTGCGCTTCGCCGAGCACGCTCTGTCTTGCTTTGGTCTCGACCCAAAGTCCACACGTGGCACCAAGCCCTCTTGTTTTGGCCTTACTTTCTCCTCTGGACGAATTAATAGTGTTTGTGTGGTGTTCAATATCTGTATTAACATCTAATGAAACACTTATAAATATTTTCCCATTATGTCATCAAGAACTGTCATTGCAATCAATGCAGGAAGTTCACTCTCTGCACCAGAACATTGACGCGTCAGTTGCCTTTAAATCTGTCATGGGTATAAGAGACTTTTGAAAGGCCGTTAAAGTTGCTTAAAATTAAACATTAATACAAATCCATTATTCTTAACACAATACGTTGTGTTTATTGAAATGAAATGGAAATACCGATAACCTTTATACATGCATTCGTGGAAACATCATTAATATTTATAGTACTGGAGGTTCTAATGAAAAGTATTTGCAAATCATAAGAAATTTAATTTATCTGAAAATCAATTGCCAATACTACACGGGCTTTTCACACAAAGCGTTGCTGCAGTAAGCGTGTGTGTAGGCTTCTTATTTCCAAGTGCCTGAAACTGAATAGTAACCGGACAGAGATCGGCATCCGTTGCCCGCGACCTGCATGGCGAGATAAGCAGAAGGATCGCAGTTTCGGGCGAGAGACTCCGCATTATTGGAACATGTTGATGTTTGTGACGTAGCTGAAGCATCTGTAAACAAAATGGCCAAGTTATCTAGCGAGGAACGGGCTCTGTTTCCGCTCAGTGACATAGACTCAGTTGTGAAGTTATTTAGAATTCATTTGTCAAAAAACAGTGAACCAAATTTGGCGATATTATCAATTATCATTGGCTACATTGAAAACACACTGACGTGCTCGCGCGGTGGCTCAGAACCCACTCCAGAACTGGACGATGAATGCTCAGGCAAACGGGCAGAGGACCACCGTGTTTTGCCAGTCGTGGATTACGAAACAGTGGAGGCCTTGCATCAAAGGTTTTTAGCAATTATCAAAGCACATGTGGATGTCACAGCCTTTGGTTCACCTCGTTACGGAACTCGAGAACTTATCAAGCGGATATCAGATGTTGTCTGGTGTACTTTATCCAGCAGTTATTATAAGGATCGAGCACATTTACAGTCTATCTACAGTTACATGACAGGTGAGTTATGCAAGGGAAGGGAAGCCAAAAAAAAAAAAATAATGCTGGGTAATTGTTGCCGATTGCAATGCACCCTTGCAGAGACTAATTTCTTAATGGGGTGGAGGGGTGGTGGTAAAATCGTGTTCACGAAGCTCCCTGTGGGAGTAGGGGGGAAGGGGGATTGCACGATGTCAGTAGCAACCTTTAAATTTTGAAATATAATAAATACCATTTAAACATCATTAAAAAGTGTAATTCTCTGAAAGTCGAGCCAAACTTCATGTTACGATAACAATAGAAAGGCTGTATAATGAGAAAGACGAGCCAAACTTTGTCTGATGGACAACGAAAGAAATACCATGCAAGTAAACAAGTGCAACACGCAATGCGTACAAATTCGATATCAGAAAAATATTTAGAGTCAACACACAATATGTGCACATCTTGTGAACCAAAGTTACGAAAACAACATACAAAAAAATTCCCACCTCCCCTTTTTACCACAAAGTCAAATGATTATACATTATATCTAAATACAAGACACATACCGTCAGTGTGGAGAGTACGGAGCTGCGACGAGGAGGAACTGATGCAATCTTTTGTTTTCTGCTGGGTACATCATTTGGAAAATGGCCTTGGCCAAGTATCTGGTAAACTGATACTTCCTCCACCCAAAGTGGGGCACTTTGATTTGGCCTCCCTCCATATGTGCTTGATCACATTGGTGTGTGCTGAACCTTTGGGGTCAACAAAATTATATGAATGCTTCACAGTTAGATGTTGATAGCCCTCTTTCTCCAGACAGTTATATGCCTTCCAACAATCACTAATGACAGTTGAGTGGATATGCTCTTTTATTACATTTAGCTAAGAGAGAGAATCACGCATCTCCACGGGCATGAGAATTTTTTTTCCACTTTTGTGGCATACTCCTCCAAAAACCCACTGACCTTCAATTACTCAACCAACATTGTATCTTCTTTTTTTAAATTTTGATTCACTAATCTCGACAATTTCCCCTGACCCACCAATTTTGACGGATTGATTTTCAAAGCACCAAAAAATGAGAACCTCCCTGCAGAAGCTCGCCCAAATAGTCTTGTTTGGTAAATTAAATTTGCTCCGTGCAGATTTGTAAGAAAACCTCTCTCTCAAATACAAAGTGACAAATTTTTGATTAGTTTAAAAATTGAGCTTACTGTTATCAAACCAGGTGTTCTTAAAAAGTGATTTTTTGAAATTGCATCTAACTTTCCTATTATTTCTTTTATGTGTTTTGTCACACCTGAATGAATGTATGTTATTGTCTATGTGACAAATGCATTTGGGGCATTTGCATTCCCCTAAAATGAGGCCATGTGACTGGCAAAGATTGAGCAAGAGGTCGGCCTGGCCTCCATATTTTTTTAAAAAGTGCCCGTACCTACCATAAAAATATTTATTTGAACACTATTGATCTATCATGATGAAATCAACAAAATATATTTCACTGTTACTTAGAATAGATAAAATAATAATTTAATAAAAAAAAAATTACTTACCCTATGTCACACTGGGCACAGAAATTGCTTGTACCTGCCATGGCACGAGCTTACCACAATTTGAGCAAGTAATTTGCATAGTGCATTGTTCCAACATGGAGGCAAACAGTGTAAAGAGGCAGTAAGGTTATTACATTGTTAAGTATGAATAAAGGTTATGGTAACAATATGAATAATATAAAAATAATGACATTACATAGAAAACCCAATTATAATGTAAAATAATAATGGTTAAAATAATTACCCAATCTCTCAATCTCAATCTCAATAATAATGCGCAGGGCGATAAATGAGCGCATAACACGCATATTGGTAGTGATTGGTTGCTGGGGGAAGGGGGGAGAATCAAGGTGCAAGCGGAAGTGTTGGTGATTGTGAAGGTGTTTGTAGTGTTAAGTGTTTATTTAGTTTGTGAAAGCGTTAAGTGTTTTAGCTTCAATTATGTGTTGGGGGAGCCTGTTCCAGTCGCATATAGTATATGGAAAGACTGAGTACTTGTAAGAGTTAGTGTTGGTGTGGTATGTGACAAATTTACTGGTGTGTGAGTTCCTTGTGTTACATGAGTGTGCTGCGTGTAAGTATTCATGTTTGTTGAAGTCTACAAATTTGTTTGTGATTTTGTACATGATTGTAAGTCTGTGTGCCTGTCTTTGTGTCTCGAGCATTTCCATGTTAATCTGTTTTTTTATGTGAGATGTAATACCAGGAGTATGTGAGTAATTGCGAGTAATAAACCTGGCAGCCCTAGTATTAACCTGCTCAAGTTTCTCAATGTTGTGTTTAGTGTAGGGGTCCCATACAGCCGTACAGTACTCTAGTGTTGGACGTACAAGTATGTTGTAAGCTATGTGTTTGATGTCCGGGGTACAGTTGTGTAGGTTCCTCCTCAGAAACCCCAGTGTTCTGTTAGCTTTATTAATGATGAAGTCAGTGTGTGTATTAAAGGTGAGATTTTTGGATTGATGGATACCGAGGTATCAAGGATGTCAAGTTGGTAGAAAATGGTGCACAGAAAATGTGACATTAAGGGGACCGTCCCTGAGAGAGGGGGGGGGGTTAAATTAAGATAGTTAGCATATAGTATAGGTACATGGATGAGGAAACTACCAAACGAGGATTAACCGCCTGCTATGGCTCGTTGTCTTGCAGCCGGCGCGCGAGTCCCTCAGCACCCGGAGACATACGTCGCTATTGAGCGCCCAGGTACACCTATGTGGACTTTTGCTTGCGGCAATCGTGCATAAGGCATTTAATTATGACATTGCGCATAGATATGAGTTCGTGAATGTTCAAGGAACACTTTTATACCAATATCAGGAAAAAATTATATCACCGTGATTTATGACGAAATATTTTGTGAAATATATCTTTAAAAAAAAGTATGTTTTGTGTCCTTTTACACACGAAATATGCTTTGATCGAGACTCCCTGGTAATATGTTTTAGTTTACGTGGTAATATATACGTATATCACATACGAAGCACTAATATTTAAAAATAGCCTTATAAGGAAGGATTGAAATATTTCCGTTACATTTCGCTCAACGGTCGGTACATCACAGCAGGGGGCAATTTGAATTGATTTGAAATTGGTAGTTACCGTTGTAAAGACCAATTCAATACGAATGTTACCTAAATGTCGGATTTTTAAACTTCGGATGTATAAGCGAGATACGGATTATTTCATGTTGAAGATGATAGTACTCAGTAATACCTGCTCTGAAATAAAAACTATATGGAATTTTGAGCTCGGTTGTATGCGTAGTCTTCGTCTGGCGTTCAAAAAGCTATCGCATCCGTTTCGTGCGTTCCCGATAAAAATGAATATGTTTAGACGTTACCGTAAGTCTTAGGCACCATAAATTGGCAAATATCCCACAACACCTAGGCGTCTGCATGAATTTATGCACTTCTTAGTAAAGATAATGGGTGCAAATGGCTAATCATAAACTTTACACTTGTTCTCCTTTGCAATCTGTTAATATTGACAATTATCAAAGAAAATGGGTATGAGAGGGATAACTAATAAATTTTATTATTTAGATATGAAATCAATGTAGGCCTACTAAATGATGATGATTAATCTTTTTAACTTTATGTGCGTGCGTTCACGTACATATGATCCTCCTCGAAAATTATAAACACCCAGTGACCATCTCCCCCCCCCTGTGTGAGGCATGGGGAATATTCAACGACTTTCGTAAGTTCTCGAATTCAATGTAATAAATTCATATGCTTTTGAAATTCTCAAAACTGAACCACCATGTTGTATTCATGCCAGGACTTTATAATTAGAATGATTTTGTACTAATATTGCCATCCACAGTTCCCCATTTCTTCAAAAAATAAAAAAAATAGAAAATAAAATGGAAAATAAAAAAATATATATTTTTTTAAAAAAAGGTTTTTATCTGGTTTAGATTAGTTGTCTCTATGGTAAAATGCATTTATCAAGCTTTTCACACGAAAATATAAACTTTTATAAACAAAAAAAAAAAAAAAAAGTTACATACCTTTACAGAGTCCCTATTGAACATGAAAATTCCTATTGACTTGGTAATCATTGCATTGCAAAGTACACTAAATAAGCGTTTTTTTTTTTTATATATGATATCATTAGATTCAGAGAAAAATAACAGAGATAACGAACTTTGGCAAGGTGCCAAATACAAAACGCCGTAGCTCCGTCATTTTTTAATGAATCTTCGGTACATCCCAACTCACGTAATTTTCATGCGATCCAAATGCAGTTTGTTGCTTTCACTAGAGCCTCAGCGTCCCATAGCCATGAAAAAGGCCGATTTTTGAATTTTTGCCTTTATAAAAAAATAATAATATTTTAATGCTGAAAAATGAATAAAAAAGTACTTTTTATGCCAAGCTGTCCCCCGCCAAAAAAAAAAGGAAATTCAAAATTCGGCCTTTTACATGGCTATAGGCTATAGTTGATCTAACACTAGCATTTTTGGGGGAATATTCTGTAAAGAGCTCTGATAGTTGGGATGTACCGAAGACATACCAAAAAAAACAGCGATTTTTTTCGACTTTTTGGGGGATGCCCCCCCCCAATGGGGGAGCAAAGTTAAAATTTATATATATAACGGAGCGCAATTCTTTACTCTATAGCATGCTAAAAGAATCAATCAGTTATCTCTAACCAATATTTTTTTATGATGTATAGAGTAGGGAAAGGTGGCCATTCTCAGGGATGGTCCCCTTAATAGAAAACGTGGTTATAGAAAATTGACTTACTGAAAATGAGACACATATAGAAAACAATTCCATAGAAAATGTAAACATAAACAAGTAACTCTGGCTGAGGAAGGGTGTTTGGAACTTACTCTCGACGTGGCACATAGCGCAGTCGTTTTTTTCAATTTACCGGTAGTTAGAAGGCCTCTAAATATTAAACTATGTTCTATCCCCATCTATATTTTCCGCTCTATAAGATTGCGGTGTCCATTTTCCTCGATCTACATGTGGCGCGGCAGTGTCTTTAACTTCTACAGAATGCTGAAATCACAAGACAATTATATCCTGGTACATTTTCAGAATAGGGTGAAATGATAAAAAAATAAAAGTATTAAGTATAAGCATAATGCATATGTTGCATGTTACGACCCTGTCACAAGCTTTTTCTATCAATTTCTGTTTTTTTCTTATGATTTATTTGCATGAAATAGTGTGACCCTATGTCACTGGCAGATAACCACTGCTCCCATGTCTATGAATATGAATAGTTGAGCCCCAGGAGGTAGGTTAGCACCAGACTGTAGAGTTCCAAAAATTATTTTGTCAAATTCTTTCCATGGAATTGTAGTTCTCGGGTAACTCTCCGTACATGCTTAGTTCTTGTTTGAATCATTTTCCGCACATAAAATTCTTTTGGCTGTATTATTGGAAATGATGCCCAACACCAAAAAGGAAAAATCTGATCTTGCCATCAGATTGAATGTAACATTCTAAGGGAATTTGATGTTATAGTTCCGCATAATGAATTGCAATGATTTTGGTATAGAAATTATTGCGAGGAAACCCATCCATTAGCGACAATTTTGGCCGCAATTGCAGGGAAAGGTATAAAAAGTACCAGAGAAATTATGAATGATATACACAGAATCAGTCACTATGCCCCACATATTCCCAGCAGGAAAGAGCATTTGATTGACATACAGGGGTGCCCAATACCGAGACAGT